ACACTTCCTTCTCTATTTCCCTCTGTTTATTACTTTTAGTAGATCTACATGTATAATATTTGTGTTAGATCAACATTTTTGTCAGTTCTTTCTATTTTGAAGTTTGCATTAAATTTTTATAATACTAATAGTCAAGTCATACGTTTGCCCCATTAAATATATGCAGTGCAGTAACTTTACTTATTAGATCTACCCATGTGTATACATGTGGTATATCTAGGAGTGTAAAGGGTCAATCCTGTGAGGAGGTCCTTCTTCAACAACCCATTAGTCATATCAATCTCATTGACTGGACCACGTGTGAGACAATAGACAATGTAATGACTTCTAGTGTGTGGTAACTGCCTGGTCTATTTAATTAACTGTAATATAATAACATTTAATAACCACACATCCTCCATATAAATAGTCCTGCACTGATCAAATTTCTTCAGTTGTTGTTCTAAAGTTGTTCGAATAGTTCTCTCAAGTTCTCATTTTCTTCTTGAATTCGTTCGGTCTGATTATACCATTGGTAGCGTGAGCTACGTTGTTCTTTCTTATTATTATTTGCTCCCTTATGCTCTTTTCTATAGTTGTTGTAAATTCCCTCTTATTCTCTCTCTTCCTTTATTCATACAGTGTGTTATCCTTCTTCTTTTGTTCATTCCTACTCTTCCTTCTTTATTTTTATTGTGTGTGTCCTTGTGTCTGTCTCTGTTTTCTTAGTGTTTGTAACTGTTTTTATTTTATTGATTTTGAGACTAGGCAAATATACAACATAACTGGCGACGAGGTAACAGGAACGCAGCTCAGCACAATGCCGAAACATGGAAAGATAGACTGCTTTGACCCAACCGAGACTAACTGGACTTCATATGTCGAGAAACTCGAGTACTTTACGACTATCCCCGCGGATAAGCAGAAGAGTTCGTTTTTAGCTGTCTGTGGCTCAACTACTTTCGAGCTGGCCAAGAGTCTGGTACAGCCAGATACGCTAGCAGACACGTCCTTTACTGACATCCTAGGAGCTCTGAAGAATCATTACGCTCCAGAACCGTCACCTATCATTCAAAGATTCAAGTTTAACTCGAGACAGCATATTCCAGGAGAATCTATTGCTACTTACATAGCTGCTCTTCGAGTGATAGGAGAACATTGTGAGTTTGGACCTACTCTCAATGACATGATAAGAGATCGCCTGGTCTGTGGTGTGAATGATAGAGCTATCCAGAGAAGGCTACTACAACAGTCCAAGCTAGACTATAAGACTGCTTACGATATTGCTATTGCTATGGAATCTGCTTCTAAGAATGCTCTGGATCTTTTTGCTGGTGGTGCTATTACTACTCAAGTAAAGAATCTTCGCTCAGGTTTACCCTCTCACTCTCATAAACAACACTCTTCACAGACTACTACTACTCAATCGTCAGCTGCTACTAAACCGATCTGTC